ACGAACAAGCGACATTTGTCAGATAGCTGCTGAGAATGAAACTGCTTTGGGTTTGGAGGCGTGTGGGGGGGAAGACCCTGAAGAACTGGGAGGGTGTCGGGAAGCAGGCTGTGAACTGTGAGCCAGCATCAAGCCAAGCAAGAGTAGCACTAACATCCAGCCATTTGGTCCACAAGTGGCATGAACCTCCCTGAGGATGGAGCCAAACCTTTTGGGAAGGGGCGGGGCTTCTGCTTGGAATTAACTCTTTGCATGGGCCAGAGCTATTCCCACAAATGGGGAATGTCTGTCACGCTTCACATCTACGAAGTGCAGGTGGAGAATACAGCTTTGGGTAATGCCAACTGTCTCAACAGAGCTACAGGTAGGGAGACTTCGCTGGCCACCCCAAATGGATTCCCATCTCTGTCAGTAAAGCAGCACCGCAGCTTTGATGAAGACAGGCCTTGCCCTTGGACTGCCCGGCTCAGCTTCTCGGGACATCATGTTGCATGTCTCAGAAAATCCCAGTACGCTGCCCGAAGTAATAGCCTGGATGGTGGCCGACGCTGGTCCTCCAGGGGAAGGCCTTGCTGAGCCAAGCTCGTGATCCCTTGGGACGCAGGGGGAAGTGTGGAACCGCCAGCCCCAGCATTTAGTGACCCGCAACACGCTCCAGGCCAGGCGGGAGGTAACGGCATGCCGCAGGTTTCCTACTCGCCCAGCTCAGCGAGAAGCAAGTGTGACAAGCGCTCTGTGTATTGGTTGGGCTGCTCAAACGTAAATGTCTTGTGTCTGACAATCGTAGCTTCAAAGTGCTATTTAATGTTGCCCTCTGTAAATAAAGCCCCCGTGCCGGGCCTTTGACTGATATTGTGAAGTCTCCCTTTGAGGTTTTGATGTAAATAATCGCGCTCTGCAATGTATGGCTCTTCTCTCTCTGCATTACTACACAAAAGCCTATATTTTTCTTTCCGTCTGTTGCCACTTTTTGAGCACACGAGACTGGCAATTTGTTTCTTGATGGTTTGTCTTCCTTTGCAATTTTATATTGTCCTTTTTGTATTGTATTTTGGGTTTTACATCTTTGAATACTTGCTGTCTTCAAAAGAATTTGGGGGTCAGCAGCTGAGCCTTTCCAAACAGTGCCGTTTTGCCATTGTGCTAACGCTGCATGTCACCTACAGACGACATAGGAGTTCTTCTTGACCTAATGGACCTGATCCAGGAGGGAGACGGCAACCGTCGCTGGTGGCAGAGGTCTAGGCCAAGCAAGACTGCTAATGTGCAGAACTAAGTCTCCTTAAACAGCTTCTGTCTCTTTGATTGCCCTGAAACAAGCAAAAATAGCAGATGCAAATAAACTCTCACCAGAACACTGAAACTGTGTTGGAAGTCTGTTTGTACAATGAGCCAGTACAAGGGCTTGTAGAGCAGGGGTTCTGCAAAGCTCAGCCATCGGGACCAGGCAGTTGTTGTTAGTCGAGAAGTCGCATCCGACCCATCGCGACCCCATGGACAGCACTCCTCCAGGCCTTCCTGCCCTCCACCATCCCCCGGAGTCCACTCAAGCTCACACCCACTGCCCCAGTGACTCCATCCAGCCACCTCATCCTCTGCCGTCCCCTCCTTTTGCCATCTATTGTTCCCAGCATCAGGCTCTTCTCCAAGGAGTCCTTCCTTCTCATTAGGTGGCCAAAGTACTTGAGTTTCATCTTCAGGATCTGGCCTTCTAAAGCGCAGTCAGGGTTGATCTCCTCTAGGACTGGCCGGTTTGATCGCCTTGCAGTCCAAGGGACTCGAGGAGTCTCCTCCAGCACCACAGTTCAAAGGCCTCAGTTCTTCGGCGCGCAGCCTTCCTTATGGTCCAGCTTTTGCAGCCATACATTGCAACTGGGAAAACCATAGCCCTGACTATACGCACTTTTGTTGGCAGGGTGATGTCTCTGCTTTTTAGTATGCTGTCTAGATTTGCCATAGCTTTCCTCCCCAGGAGCAAGCGTCTTTTAATTTCTTGGCTGCAGTTCCCGTCTGCGGTGATCTTGGAGCCCAGGAAAATGAAATCTGTCACTACCTCCATTTCTTCCCATCTATTTGCCAGGAAGTGAGAGGACCGGATGCCATAATCTTAGTTTTCTTAATGTTGAGTTTCAAGCAGTTAGACTGCTTCAAAGCCGGCACTAGGGTTGGACTCCCGGCCTGTGACCGCCTCCATTCTTACTGGGGTGTTTGAAAGGGGCTTCACGAACAGACCAGCTAACAGGTAGGACGAGCATCGGTTCCACAGGCGTGCTCCATCTGAACAAAGCTTGCATTTTTCCAGTTTGCTGTCCTTGATGATATATTCCATGAAGGATGCAGGAGGAGCGATGCTAGGCCAAACGGAAGGCCTCTGGTCTAGCAGATGCCCCAGCGGGAGAGACCGCAAGCAGGGCTGAGGCGGGTGGTGCAAAGGCCTGCCTGGGTCTGCCGCTGGAAGGGACCCAAAGCCATCATGACTAGCGGCCGCTGATGGCCCTGCAGTGCATCCAGTGCAGAGCGGGAGTAGCCACAGCGCCCCCCCCCGCCCTGCATTTCCATTAGGCAGCCATCTTCTATTGTCCAGCTAGAGCAGGGGTCCTCAAACTTTTTCAACAGGGCGCCAGTTGAAAGGTTCCAGCAATGGGCATCGGCCGCCAAGGCGGTGCTGGCAGGGGGCGCGGGGCGGGGGAGGGGCGCGCACCTGGAGAGCCTTTTCTCCGAGCGAGTCCAGAACGACCTCCGTGCGAGCAAGCCACTGCCTTGCCACGCGTGCCGAGTCCAAAACCTCCATGGCGGGCCCGATCAATGGACCGTAGCTTGAGGACCCGTGAGCTCGAGTGTCCTGGAGGAGGAGGAAAGGTGGTGGGAGCAGCTTCGGGACAGCCAACTGCTCTCCCCCCACTCCGGCGGGCAGCCAGTGCGGCCCTTTCCATGCCAGCTGCAATGGGGCCAGGAGCGGGAGGGGGCATTGCACCAATTCCCGAATTCCAGGTGAGAGCAACCTCCGACCTTGCAGGTGGGAATCTAAAGGATCCTGTGCCCACCCTTCTCCAGACAATGTCCACCAAGAGACCATCCTTCCCTTCCCTTCTGTGAATCTAATTCCCTTTTAGAGTCCGTAAAAGTTGGGTGAGCTACCCCCCCCGACCCCGCTGTCAAGAGTTCCCCCCCTTGCAGCCTCTGGGGCTTGACTGGCCAAGTGTGCTCCCTAAAGAGCCAAACTGCACTGGATTTAGCACACGTGACCCAAGACTCTGGGGAAAAGAACGTCTTTATTAGACTACAGTAAAACCACATACCCCTTCATGGATCACGGCCTGGTCGTGGCAAAGGGGCTTGCGCAGCGCAATGAAGCTCTGAGCTGTGCCGTGCAGGGCCACCCAAGACGGACAGGTCGCAGCAGAGAGCTCTGACAAAACGTGATCCCCTGGAGAAGGAAATGGCAGCCCACTCCAGTACCCTTGCCGTGAAAACCCCCGGGACGGTACCAAAAGGCCAAAAGATATGACGCCGGAAGATGAGCCCCTCAGGTCGGAAGGTGTCCAATGTGCTACTGGGGACGCGCAGAGGGCTAGTACTCGTAGTGCCAGAAAGAAGGAAGCGACTGGGTCAAAGCCGAAGGGACACTCAGTTGCGGATGTATCTGGTGGTGAAAGGAGAGTCCGATGCTGCGAAGATCTATACTCCACAGGAACCCGGAGTGTAAGATCCATGAATCACGGCAAGCTGGGTGTGGTCAAACAAGAGATGACAAGCCTGAACATGGACATCGTAGGAATCAGTGAACTACAATGGACAGGAGTGGGTGAATTTAGTTCAGATGACCATCAGGTGTACTATTGCAGGAAAGAATCCCTCAGAAGAAATGGAGTAGCCTTCATAGTCAATAAAAGGGTAGGAGAAGCAGTACTGGGATTCAGTCTCCACAATGACAGAATGATCTCAGTTCGAATCCAGGGCAAGCCATTCAACATCACTGTAGTCCAAGTCTTTGCCCCAACCACTGGTGCTGACGAGGCTGAAGCTGACCGGTTCTGTGAAGGCCTACAACACCTTCTAGTATTAACACCAAAAAGGGATGTCCTTATCATCATGCGGGATTGCAATGCGGAAGTAGGAAGCCGAAAGATAACCGGGATAACAGGCAGGTTTGGCCTTGGAGTACAAAATGAAGCACAGGCTGGTAGAATTTTGTCAAGAGAATACGATGGCCACAGCAAACCAGCAACCCAAGAGACGACTCTACACATGGGCATCACCAGACAGTCAACACAGAAATCAGACTGACAATGTGCTGTGCAGCCAAGGATGAGACCGCGCACCACACGCCCCGCCACCGGTTTTATTTTGCGACTCGATGCCCAGGCCCTGCGCAGAGGCCGCGGCCTGGCGCAGACTGCCGGCCCGCCTGCGCTCCGACCCCGGGCGGGCAGGACATCGCTCCGCGGGCGGCCGAGCCATTTCCCCGCCGCCCGCGAGGCCCGCGAGCCCGGCAGAGAAGCAGCCGCCAGGCCCCGCCCCCCTCCGCTCCGCTTGGCACCGCCCTCGCCCGGCCCGGGCGCGCGCCTGCGCAGACGAGCCCCGCCCGCCCCGCCCCGCATGGCGATTGGCAGCGCGCTGGCCCAATCGCAGGCCGCGTGTGCCCGGCCGGAGCCCGAGCGGGACGGGCCGCCGCGCCGCGCCGCGCCGCGCCGGAAGGCCCATGCCGCTCGCCGGAAGCGCCGTGGGAGCGGCCGGGATGGGCCGCAGCCGGTCCAGGTCGCCTCCGCGGAGGGGTGAGTCAGTCGGGGCGTCGCGGTCGGCCGCTCTCCGCAGCCGGGTCCCCTGCGCCGCAGTTCCGCCCCGCCTCCCGGGCAGCCTCCGGCCCTTGTCCCGGGCCGCTGCGGCCGGCTGGCGCTCACGCAGCGGGCGGGCGGGCGGGCGGGCGGGGCGGCTGCTCCAGCCCGGCGCCCCCCGGGAGGGGCGCTTCACCAGCGGCCGAGAAGGGCTCGCGCGGCTGCGCGGCCAGGGCGCGACTAGACGTCGATGCTTCGATGAGCGGCCCGCTGGAAGGCTCCGGGGAGAAACGGCGCCCTGTGGGGCGGAAGCGAGGGGGGCATGGGCGTGCGTCTGAGCCCGCGGCGCTCCGGGTGCGGCTGCAGAGAAGAGTCCGCCCGCGAGCGGCCCCTTAAGTGCGGCCCAGCCTGGTCATGCTTTTGCCCCGCAGAACGCCGGCGGTCCAGATCCACCTCCCGGGAGAGGGAGAGGCGGCGGCGGGAGCGGTCGAGGTCTCGGGAGAGGGACCGGAGGAGAAGTCGCTCCCGCTCGCCGCACAGGCGGCGGTCCAGGTGAGAAGCCTCAGCTGGGGGCGCTGGTTATTCCGAAAGTTGCTCTTGTTGTCGGCGGTATTTGTGAGAACTGAGCGTGTCTTTGGCCCTTGCCAATGGCAAGGAAACACTGACCGGTGATGATTACTTCGCTCTGTTCAACTTACCCTCCGCCAGCTCCACAGCCTGCAAGAATGCACAAGTGACTTGATTGCTTTCCCTGAGGAAACGGTCAGCATTGTATGAAGGCTCTCTTGGGATTCCCTGGAAGCTGTTTCATTTTGAAAGAGGAGATGGAAGGGAGGGGCCTTTGCCTATGGGATGGACGAGAAAGCAGCATCTAGCACTAGCAGTGAAGCTCTTTATGCCCCTTCCTTCTTGTGGCACTTTTAGCCCTCTTCACTGTTTCTCTTGCTAGCTCCTGCAATAATTTTGTTGTGCTTGGCGAAAAGGAGAGATATCTATTAAAAACTAGGGGAGAAAGGTTTGTGGGCAGCTATGAACGCCTATAAAAGCAGGGCGAACCTATGTCCCTTGGGCAGAATTTTAGGCTTTTTCTGTTCTTGAAACCCCATAGGATTTCACCTGTCTTCCCTATAGACAGCTTCTCTTCCCTATTCCTATGCCTCTCCGACCCTGTCATCTGTACTAAATCCTAATTGTGTGCTAGATAGCAACCCCTTGAGTACCTTGTGTTGATGAGCTGTTGGTTAGTAAATGCTAGCTGTCTATTGTAGTGGGTAGGGTATTAATCTCCCCTAAGCAAGGCTCAGATCCCTGCTATGCCGTGATGGATGGCATAACTTTGGGCCAATCTCTTATTGTTCCGTCTAAACTAACTCAAGGATACTGTGAGAATAAAATGAGGTAACCAAGCACATGGCCAGCCTATCATTCCTGCATAAGAACTGAATATTGTGGCTGCAGGTATTTACCCCTCTCCTCCCTCCTGTTACATCCTTAAATAGGAGGAAGAACCACCAAATACGTGTGGCTTTTAATGAGGAGAAGGTGGGAAGGTTTCCAACACAAAGAAATGTACTCCTAGGGTGGGACTGCTGTTGGTTTGCATCTTGCTTTTAATCCCAGCTCCCATTATCATACAAATATGCATGTGCCTCTTGTTGCATGCATCTCATAAGCTGAGAAGTGACCATCATAAAAATAAGACTTGCACTAATCTCTAGATCTCCACGGCGACATAGATCCAGTTCCTCTTCCCCTTCCCGACAGAAAGAAAGGCGAGATGAAGAAAAGAAAGAAAACAAAGACACTAAAAGCAAAGAGCGTCAGATCACAGGTAATAAAATTGCAATCAAATTGTCTAATTGCAATCAAAACTGGGAAATAATTTGCCTCCACTGTGCATTCTGGATTATATGGACCCTCTTTGGGCACATCTGTCATCATGAGAAGGGTTTTGTCCTTGGGCAGAGTGTATTTGGTAGTGTTCTGGTCTGATCGCACACATCTTCCTCTTACTGAAAGCCAAGAGATAACCGTTGCATCTGGATGACACAACTACCCACCCGATGACCAAGCTATGCAGTGTGGCTTCATGGAGCAGCTCACAGTTTGCCCGGTAAATGATTTGCCTCACTGCGAGCTGCCCCCTTTCTTCCCCTTCTCAGAGGACTCAGCAGTAAGACACACCTTGACCTCCCCTCCATGGCAAGTGCAGCCTTTTTGTGGTTGCCGCAGCTTTGTTTTCATTTCACCCTTTTTTTCAGAGGTTGCTTTTCCCAGTTTCCAAAATGGTAGGCCCTTTGACGTTCCTGAGCAGGACATTCAGGTGGCTGTCACTGCTTCACCATGAGGGGCTTTTTATGCCCAAAATTTGTGCAAAGTGCTCTGTGACAATGATCTCACTGTGGGTGTTGGGAGTTCAGAGTCACGAAGATGCAGCGCTCAGATTCTCCTGTGTGTGTGGCCCTACTTCGTCAGTGCCCTGAATGTTGTCTTCTGTCAAAAGTAGAGGCGATACCAGCCATGGATGGACAAAATCCATCCAGGCCTTCACCCTCCTTCAGTGCAGTCTTACCACAGGCAGAACCATAATAGGTACACACCAGCAGTCCTTCACGGTAAATACCCCAGCTTACACTCACAGGGCAGGGTTTGCACACGACAAAACCCATATAAGAACATAAGACAGGCAAGGTCCATCCAGCCCAACATTTTGCACATGGAGTGCCTGCCCCGGGATCCCTGTGAGCCCGACAGGAGTGGAACAGCATCCTCCCCAGCAACAGGTGTACAGAGGCACACGGCCTGACAGTGGTGGCAGCAGAGCCATGAGGATGGGGGGCCATGGAGAGCCTTCTCCACAGATGTCACCCATCTCCTGTCAAGGCACTGCAGAACACAGCAGTGAAGTCATGGCTTGAATCCGCGCTGTGTGCGGGCTTCCCCCACCAGGCAGGCTCGCAACGAAGCGTTTCCCCTGGCCGCTCACTCTGCAGTGGCCGGCCCTGCGTCCCGCATGGGTGCGGTGTGCAGGCCCGCCCAGTGCATGGGCCTGGAAGTGTGCTCTGCCCCATCCACGGTCCCCGCTCACTTTCCATCTGCAAGCGCAGCAGGATCTTTTGGGTCGCCACCGCCACTTTTCATCCCCTGCCATGTCGTGGTTTCTTTTTCCAGAAGAGGATCTAGAGGGCAAGACTGAAGAAGAAATTGAAATGATGAAAACGATGGGATTTGCAGCATTCGACACAACAAAGGCAAGTGGCAGAAGCTCAGGGCCAGGGACCACACGGAGCCACCAAGGGCCTCCCTCAGCCCTCTGGGGCTCCCTGGGAAGCCATGCCCCCCCCCCAGCACTGTCCTGCTCCCCCAGCGACTATTTCTGGCCATTTCCCAGGCTTTCATGCAGCCTCCCCCCTCCCCCACATTAAAAAAGCTTACGTGTCTCCTAAAGCTTAGCTACCAATAATGACATTTTTAAGAGAACATAATGCAGGTATTTGGGCCCTGCCCCTCTTGCCTTTGGCCTGCTCACTACTGAAAGACATCCCTGAGAACATCCCCAAAACGTAATTCAGCCCTCGAACTGGAAGAGGCTTCCCCACCTCACTGGAAATTGATCGCCGCACCTACTTTCTGCCCACAATTCATAAGCAGGCACTGTCTGCAGAGTTCTGCAGGACTCTGCTGCAGCTCTGCAGACACACAGAAAACCTGTACGAAGTGGTGGTGGGTGAAATCTATTTCTGGGTGCTGCAGATAAAGGAGAGAATTGCTCCCCCCCCCCCCCCTCTCCCTTACCCAAATAGAGGAGCAACTTAGCATCCAAGCTGCTGCCTTTTTCTACCCCTAGGCTGGGTACCACTGTATCTATTGTTGTCTAAAGATGATTTTGGCTTTCTCCTTGTCTTGCAGGGAAAGAAAGTGGATGGCTCTGTGAATGCTTATGCTATAAATGTATCACAGAAGAGGAAATACAGGTTAGCTTTTTACCCTCTTGGACAGGCAGGGCTGTAAACTTGGCAATTTTCTCATCCCCCCGCCCCATGCCAGGCAGCAGATGACTTCACACAGCATTACTCACTTCATAGGAATATGTGCAGAGAAAGCTTTGAGTTCCTTCCTATCCCCCCCCCTTTTTTTTTAAAGAAGGTGGGGGAAAGAAGCTAAAGAACAGATTCCCTTGTGTGGAAGGAACTGGAGTAATTGAGAGGGAGTGCAGTGTTCCCCAAGGGAACCACAAAGGGTTAATATTGTGAGAGAGCAGAAAGTTGTTAAGGTCAGTCTGGTATTTCTGCCCTTTTTGGATTAATGTGTGCGCATATGTCTGTCCCAGTCTGAGTTCCCTGTCATTTGGGGTGCTTGATCTACTATCCTTACAAGGGTGGACTGCACATGTCCAGGATTCCAGCCAGGCCGCTTTCTAGGATATGCCATTCCCCTAGTCTTACCTCCCTTACCCAGTACGCAGTCAGCATTGTATGGAAGAATCTCCTCACTGCCAGAGCAGTACGACAATAGAACCTATTACATGGGAAGTTGTAGGCTCTTCCTCACTAGAGACATTCAGGAAGTGTCTAGACAGTCATTGGACCAGGATGGTGTAACTTAGCATCCTGCAACAGCAGGGGGTTGGACCCGATGGCCTTCTGGCCATTTCTAACTCTGTGATCCTGTGAGTGTGACTGCTGAGCACCCTCAGTCCTCATTGGACGTTTGAAAAGGCTGTTACCTCCTTTTGAGTTTCTCTTTTTACAAAATTATACACAATTGTGCCTTTTCCAAGGCTTAAGATTGCCAGGAGAAATATCAACAACCTCAAATATGCAGATGATACCACTCTAATGGCAGAAAGTGGAACTAAAGAGCCTCTTGATGTGGGTGAAGGAGGAGAGCGCAAAAGTTGGCTTGAAACTCAACATTAAGAAAACTAAGCTCATGGCATCCGGTCCTCTCACTTCCTGGCAAATAGATAGTAAAGAAATGGAAGTAGTGACAGATTTTATTTTCCTGGGCTCCAAGATCACCGCAGACGGGGACTGCAGCCAAGAAATTAAAAGACGCCTGCTCCTGGGGAGGAAAGCTATGGCAAATCTAGACAGCATACTAAAAAGCAGAGGCATCACCCTGCCAACAAAAGTGCATATAGTCAGGGCTATGGTTTTCCCAGTTGCAGTGTATGGCTGTGAAAGCTGGACCATAAGGAAGGCTGAGCGCCAAAGGAATGAGGCCTTTGAATGGTGGTGCTGGAGGAGACTCCTGCGAGTCCCTTGGACTGCGGGGCGATCAAACCGATCAGTCCTAGAGGAGATCAACCCTGACTGCTCTTTAGAAGACCAGACAGTGAAGCTGAAACTCAAGTACTCTGGCCACCTAATGAGAAGGAAGGACTCCCTGGAGAAGAGCCTGATGCTGGGAACAATTGAGGGCAAAAGAAGGAGGGGACGGCAGAGGATGAGGTTGCTGGATGGTGTAACTGAAGCAGTCGGCGTGAGCTTAGGTGGACTCCGGGGGATGGTGGAGGGCAGGAAGGCCTGGAGGAATGTTGTCCAGGGGGTTGCGATGGGTCGGACGCGACTTCGCGACTGGCAACAACAAGATAAATTTCAGAAGGACTGGATGGGTGTCAGGATAAGGTTCAGGGGCTTCAGAATATTGTATCGCTAATACTTGCTTTCTGTTACTACAGGCAGTACATGAACAGAAAAGGTGGATTCAACAGACCTCTGGATTTTATTGCCTGATAGCAGCATTGGCAGCATGTGAATGAAGACTCTGCTCTAGCTCCTTAACTGGCCTAGGCCAGGTGTTGCTGTCGAGACATCTTCCCGTGCAGAACGGGTCCTGTGCATTGCTGAGTCCATGAAAGTGACATTATCTCATAGGGTGAGATGGTTGTATGTTTTTCTGTTGTTTTTTTTAAACATAAAGTTATTTTCTTTTGTGTGGTTGTGTTTCAGTTTTGTAGGTTTTTGCTTTTAAAATAGAAAAAAGCCATTTGTCTCATTGAACACACTTGGACTAGGACACTTCTGTGAAATTTAAGGCAGCAAAATTATATGCGTTGCTGAAATAGGGATATAGCTATTAAGGGTTTTTTTTTTTTTCTGAGCATGTGAGACAACTGTTACCCAGCCCATCAACATTTAACCAAAACACCTCCTCTCCTTCTGTATTCCAAAATCATGTCGTGAGATTTTGATGGATTTTTCTGCCTCTTGTTTCTGTCCAGCAGAGGGCCTCTAAACAAATGTGTAAATATAATACAATTCTGATTTGTCAGTTTACATGGGATTCTTGTAGCAGTTGAGTTTTTCCAGTAGTTCTTTGAGAAAGAAATTAGTATCTGTGCATGTACTGTGCGTTACTTTGCATACTGATCTGTTGCTTTTTAGTGCAGCTATGTTTTTTTCCTGGTGTGAAATGGCTGTAATCGTAATTTTGCCGGAAAGCTTGCTGTATGATGGGAATGTTGAGCCCTTTCAGCCCGAGGGCTGAATGCACTTTTGAAGAATGGTGGATTGATTGATTAACATTAATTGGTGGATTAGGTGGAAGGTAGAAGAATCAATGTCAGCAGTATCAGCATATTTACCTTCAGTGCCTGCTGCCTTTTAGAGGTAAAAAAACTGGTATAAAAATTGGGACGCTACCAAAGCCATGCTGCCTTGCAGCATCAGAGGCCTGCTGCACCCCAGCTGCTGAGGGACATGGGCGGGAGGGCGCAGTCGCACATGCGTGCTGCTTGGAGGTGGGGGATGCGCCAGAGGACGCTGGGATGAGGGCAGCGCTGGGTGTGATGGGCTGGTTCACGGCCTGCTGTGTTGGCCTGACTAAGACCTGTGTTAAGACCACGTTTTCCTACCACCCAAAGTCTCTGAGAGTCCATCCCTTCCCACTAACAGGTAAAGCTATTAAACTTAAGTTGACCGTTTTGGCACGAGCGCCCATGTTAAAATTATCTCCAGCGCTGTTCTGCACATACCTGCTTCCTCACCTTTGGTTCCGCATGAGCCGTGGAACCTGCGTGGCCACCTGAGCATGGGAGGCAGGCTGGCTCATGGCCGAGCACTGTATTTAGGGGCAGCCCCCGCCACTGTCCCTGCTGGGCCTGAGGGCAAGCTCGGTGCAAATGCCCAGCCTCGCCTGCCTGTTGCTGTGCCTGCCATCTGTTGTTGTGGCTAGTTGCGAAGTCACGTCCGACCCATCGCGACCCCATGGACAACACTCCTCCAGGCCTTCCTGCCCTCCACCTTCCCCCGGAGTCCACCCAAGCGCACACCCACTGCCCCAGTGACCCCATCCAGCCACCTCATCCTCTGCCGTCCCCTCCTCCGTTTGCCATCCATTGTTCCCAGCACTGGGCTCTTCTCCAGGGAGTCCTCATTCGGTGGCCAAAGTACTTGAGCTTCATCTTCAGGATCTGGCCTTCTAAAGAGCAGTCAGGGTTGATCTCCTCTAGGACTGGCCGGTTTGATCGCCATGCGGTCCAAGGGACTTGCAGGAGTCTCCTCCAGCACCACCATTCAAAGGCCTCAATCCTTCGTCGCGCAGCCTTCCTTATGGTCCACCTTTCACAGCAATGCATTGCAACTGGGAACACCGTGGCCTTGACACTGTGCGCTTTTGTCGGCAGAGTGATGCCTCCGCTTTTCAGTCCGCTGTCTAGACTTGCCACAGCTTTCCTGCCCGGGAGCAAGCGTCGTTTAATTCCTCGGCTGCAGTCCCCGTCTGCCTGCCATCTTCCTTGATCAAGGGCTCCGGTGCACCGGGAAGCATCGCTCCCGGGCGGGGCTCGGAACGCCGGCCGGGCACCGCTGCCGCCGCCCTCCCGGGGCCAGGAGGCCGGCCCTGGCGCGCTCGACGGGCGCTGCAGGGCTTCCTCCGCCCTGGCCGGGACCCCTTCCCGCCCGGAGCGGTAGAAGCGCGTGGCCGCGGGCGGGCGGAGCGCGAAGAGCCACGCAGTAAGAAAGGGGCGGGCCGCAGAGGGGCGGGCCAATGGGGCCCGCTGGAGAAACCACGGGTCGGCCCTATCAGAAAGCTGCCTGGGCGTGGGTGTGAGAGCCCGGGCCAATGGGGCACGCGCGGAGCCGAAGGGGTGGTCCCTTCCACCGCTTTCCCAATAAGACCCAGCGATACGGAGAGGCGGAGTTCGTCGGCAGCCCAGCCAACCGAAAGACTAAAAGCTCGGGAGAGACGAAGGGTGGGCTAACGAACAAAGGCGGCCAATGAGGAGGGATCACCTCGTGCGGGGCGGGCCTTGTTGCTGTTTTCGCCTTTCCGCGGGCAAATCAGGCCGCGCCGGGGGCGGCAACGTGCCTTCGGTGGCCAATCCGCGGCGCCCGCTGGGGGCAGTGGGTTGGGCTGCGGTCGGCGGGGAGGGCTTGGTTGCGTCGAGTCTGTCAGGCTGAGGTGGGGTAAACACACTCGCGCGGCGGCCGCTGGAGGAGGAGGCGGCGGCGGCGGCGGCGGCTGTGGCTGTTGTGGCGGCGGCCGTGCGGCGCGGCGAAGCGAGGCTCCGGGCCAGGGTCGAAGCGGCCGGCGGGCCTGACGCAGGCGGAGCGGGCAAAATGGCGGCTGCCGCCCAGGTGTGCGAGAACATCCAGATGCTGCTGGAGGCGGCCGAGTTCCTGGAGCGCCGGGAGCGAGGTAGGCCGCCCGCCCGCCCGGTGCCCGCGGCTCCGCGGGCGCCTCTGCCGGGGCGCAGCGCCCGGCCCCGCCACCTCTCGGCCGCCCTCGCGTCGCCGGCCGCCGGAGTGCGGACGTGGCTCGCCTCGTCCGGTCCCTCCTCGGCCCCGGTGCGCACGCCCGGCCCGGCCCTGCCCGCGGCCGGTTCCCGAAAGCCGAGGGCTGCCGAGGACACAGGCCCCGCAAAGCCCGGCGCGCGAGTGGCCGCGCCGCCGCGCCTCTCTCTCCGGCTCGCTCGGCCTGCTGCTCCCCGCGAGGCCCGGGCCCGCCCGGCCTCCCCTGCCGTGAAAGAGCCTCGCCGCGCGGCTTTTGTTCTCCGCCCGCGGCCCGGGCGAGCGGCAGCGGGGTCCCCGCGCCTGGGAGGCGGGGGTGGCGCTGCCGCTCGCCCCGGAGCAGCCCCCGAGCGGCGCGTCCTCCGCCTGTCCGCCGAGGCACGGCCGGCCAGCGATTCGCCGGAGCATCGCTGCATCATCCGCTTTCCCCCACCGGTTCGGGGGCTCACCGGCCCCGTAGGAGTCTCCCGCGCTGGGCGAGGGTGTCTTGCCCCCGGCGTGAGACCCTGTTCGTCCAGCGACGGCATGAATCGGAGCGCCCCGGATCTCGAAGCACCCCGCCCGCACGCTTTTGGTAATCCTCGTGGAAGCCTTGCGGGAAAGTGCGGAGCGTATTGCCGTGTTCCACATGAGGCCGCTGAAACAAAGAGGATGTGGACTTGCCTGAGGCAGCGCAGCTGAAAGGCGGTTTGGAAGTGGGGCTTGCTCAGGACCTGTAAAATGATCCCGCCGGTAGAAATGTTTAGGAGAGCCTGCCTTGTCTCTCTGGGTCACATCATTCAGCTACCTCTCCCAATGCATTTATGGCAGATTTATTTTTTTGCAAGGTTTGATAATAGAATGAATGGTATTTTTTTTCCCTAGAAGCCGAGCATGGCTATGCTTCCATGCTACCTTACAGCATCAAGGATAGAGATGTCCTAAAACGAAGAAACAAGTCCAAGAAAAACAGCAGTAGTAGCAGGTAATAGAACACAGGACGCTGTGCCTCTGTTGCCCTGCTTCTGCGGGGTCAGCCATGGAAAATGGCCATTTCTGGGGCGATTATAACAGTAGCCCCACCCTAAGCACACTGGTCTTCATTGACTGGTCAGTTGCTATGGCTCATTCTGTGGTGTCAGAATTCTCCTGCTCATTAGGTTCCTTGTACAATATAGTTTTGCTTTCATTTCTTGTCAGTTATACATTGTTCTTGTAAATGGTTATGGTTGAAATGTTAGAATTAACTATCTTATCAAAAATATTTTGGGAAAGCATTTTAATCCTTCTGATGATACTTGATTGAAGCTCTTTAAGCTTCAGTGTAAGGATTTTGAGGTGCATGTCTCAAAAAAGGCACCTGATCATTCCAAATACTCCCATTAATTTATTAGAAATGTGTCATAGCTATTATCAGCATACTTTAACACATACTTAGATTGCTGGAAGCTAGTTTTTAAAAGATATTTAGAGGAGATTGGCTTTAAAATGGGGTTTCGTTGCTTGTGCCTTATCTAAAGCCAAGAAAAACTGGAAGCACATTAAAGCTGTAGGTGTAAACATAGCTTTACCGAAGAGTAAATCTTCTTGACAAACTGGGATTTATTTTGGTGTAACCATGTGTGGGATCCTCTTGCACAAGATCCGCCAGCATGTGCGGGTCTGCTTTTTTGCAGAAGTTCTTTCTGCCTATTTCACAAAACAATTTGTTTTGAATAGATTGTTTGTATCACCCTTTCAAAACCAGCTTGCAGGCTGTATTCTGAGCATTTTATATCCTGCTTTTCTGCTGTAATGATGAAGGTGACTTTCAGGCTGTTAAAGCAGCAACAGACTTATGTAAACATCAAAGTAAAACTGAAAGTGATAGCAGATAAAATAACCTGAAGGTAAGATTCAGTATACTCATTCCCCAACTTGCCAGGCCCCGTAGTAGTTAAATAAAGTGCGTTGCTTTTTACAGCTCTTCTAGATCATTGCTGATCACTTTTCCTTTTACTTAAAGCAGGGTTGGACAAGTTTTTTTTTCCTGTCTCCTTTGTGGCTTATCTGTTGGCATAGTGAACGGGACCAGAGCCAAAAGTGGATGGGTCGCCTCTTCCCTCTTTCTGTCACTTGTTCTCTTTTTCTGCCGGCCCCTTTTCACATACCCACAGAGCAGACGACCAGGGAAAGAATAGATTTACTAAGGTTCTGAATTTGAAATTAGGTTGAGGGCTCCAGTTTGTTCATCCCAACTTAAAGTGTTCGATCTTCTTTACTCAAATTAATATGCTAATTTTTTGAATAGAGGTTTTTTTTTAATAGAATAAAGTTACTGAGAAATTGTAAACTGTCTGCCCATTCACGAATAAGAAATTCTAGTGACTTGTTTTGGTTCTGCCATGGTTCTCCATGAATACATTGCATCTACAGTGTATTGGAGACTCTGCTGATTTCACATAAAATAAAAAATGTGTAAGGACTAGGGTAAAAGTATTCTAGGAAATTGTTGGTTTAGGACACAGTCCAGCTCCACTGACTGAGGGGTGCTTAGGCACCTTTTTCTGTCTAAACATGCATAAGATTTTTGCCCCCAGTGTATGTTCTGGGAAGCTGTCAGATTTTGAAGAATCCTGATCTCGCTAGATTCACATTGTGCTTATGTGTGTATTACTTGCAAAGCAGGTGATTACAAAACATTCAGATTATTTTGCCTCATCTTCAGATAAAAGAAAAGATGTATCCAGATCCAAATGCTTCTGTAGTACCTGATATGAGGAATCGCAGATCTGGGGTTGTGCAGGAACTGTGGTTCTTAACAGCTGCTTTGTAGCCAGCAGTTTCCTTGATTTTTTTCTAATGGTGAACAATTACTAGGTCCTGTATTTGTAATCTTTATTGCAGCATGTTAATTTGGCGACTGCCAGTGAAAATGGTTAACTAATCTGTCTCTCTCCCTCTCCCCTCTCCCCCCTTAAGATCAACACACAATGAAATGGAGAAAAACAGGTGAGCTTTCAAAAAGTCATTGTAAATTATAATTAATCCCGTGTCCTTAAATTTCTGAGGGTCTTGCTGAAGTGAATTAAAGTGGTGGTTTTAGCTCAAGAGTTAGGTTTGGGGAAGCTGGTTTTTCTGGGTGGAGACTTCCAGTATGCAGAATTACACATGCTTGTATGTGGCAACGGCGGCTAAATGGAAAGCTTCATATTAATGCAACATCTAGTTTCTGTTGCAGGCTGGACCCAGTCCACAGGGTATCACTCATTGGTATGAGTTTTCTCCTGCCCAGAAAATGACGTTCTTCAGCCGTAGTTGGAATAGGTTTGACTATCAGCTCAAAGCCAAACCTGGATAACCAGCATGTGCTATGGAAATATGCACTCTGCTACTAAGGACTGTCTAGGGAATGAAGGCCCCAGAGTTTCTGAGGGAAAATTTAGCACGGTGTATAAGAATACTAGGATTGCACCTCAACAGTTTTACTCCTTGGTCTTCAGGAGGAGGTTAATATCCAGGTGCTGTTTGCTTAGTTCATTCCAACCACACGTCCCAGTAAGTTTTGTACTAATGCCACGATGCTGCAGGGGGTCTTTATTTTCCTGCTGGCATACTGCACTTCAACAGGCTTGCATCCCAGGGAGTAGTTCACAGTTTGCCCATTGTCATTCCCTTTGAGTACATTTCTCTGACTATGAAAAGAATGTGGGGGGTATTGATTCATAACAGCTTTAATTTGTCCAAGGTAGCCCATTGGACCTGGCCAGGGTAAGGGTTAGCTTGACTATTTTAACTCCAGTTTGACATTCCTGTGTGTAATTTCTCCTCTTGATTGGGTTGGCACAGAGACAGAGCAACTGGGAGACTGCTGTTGGGTTTTAACTAGGTTTATGCTGGTCCGTTTTCAGGAAGCATCCAAAGTGTTTACTGAGGGCTGCTGTGCTGGATGGAATACCTGGGTTGTGGGTATTTATCATGGGTTTATCACACCATGGGTATAAATGCTTGCATTTCTGTTGACATTGCTTGAGGCTGGAATGTAAGATTAATGTAGATCTTTATGGAGAGATGGCCCTTGGCTTGACCTGTTCTGAGGCTTTTTAATAGTCTTGTTAAACACTGAGGAGTTGGCAGGATATATTTTGTAGAGATCAGGACTTAATTTTGGGATATTGCAGGTTATGAGAATATAGAGCTACTTCAGTTCATAGGAGCTAAAGTAAACAGTGGCTACTAATCTTGATGGCCATATCCCACTATTGGAGGTCGTGTGCTTTTGAATGCTGTATTCTGGGGCACATGAGTGTGAAGGTGCTGTTACTTTCAAGTCCTTCTCATAGGTTTCCCATAGGCTGGCTGGCTGGCTGGGGTGGACAGGCCTTTAGTCTGATCCCCTACATCTGTCTATTTCTTCTTTTCCCTTTATTTCTTTAAAGTGTCCTGTAGGCATCAGTATGATCTTTCTGCAGTTAATTTTGCTCTTAATATTTTCCTATAGTCCAGCAAATAGATACACTTCTGGTTGTACTCCATTTCACATTCATGTTCAATATCAAAGTTTGCCTGTGTTTGAAATCTGACAATGCTATTGTAGAGTTCGTTAGTTGTTGTTTTTTTAAACTTAGATTGCAAGTTTTAATTGTGCAACTAAGGTAACCAGTCAGTTATAGCAGATTTTAATTGATGCAGCCAGGGATTTCAAATAGTGAATGAGCTTGTCAGCCAGTTATTATTTCTCTTAGCTAGCAGGAATGTATTAAAAGTGCCTCTGGACACAGGCAGAATGCTGCTTACAGAGGAAATGCAGCCTGCACACCTTCCTCCAAATTAAAAGTATTTACAGGACAGATGATACATGGTCACAAACCAGAACCCTGCCCTCACTTTTTTGGTTTATTTCTTTAAATGTGTAAGCAAGTTTGTTTTATGCAGCTAAAGAACCATCTCCATTACCAGCCCACCCTTCAGTCTTGATAGTTTCTGCTTCCTGGCCATCACAAAATAATTTCTTCACGTGATGCCCAACTTTCTTTTCCTGTTAGATAGCTCTCTCTTTTGCACTCTACCGAGGGCTTTACATTCATTCCAGTACAGACCTGTTTTCACTACCTGGATGAAAAAGGCCTGCAAACATTCTTCTTTTCACCGTGGTCCACTCCAGGTTTTTCTGCCAATCTCTCTCTTTTATCATAGAAACAGCGCGAGTCTGGGCCATCTAGTCTGACCCCAGGCTCCAGCAGGCTCCGCTCACAACATGCCCACCATGTGCATGTCCAGCCCATCTTTGAACACCCACACTGATGGGGCCTCACCCACCTCCCAGGGAAGCCCATTCCACATCCTCGGGGTCCTGACTGTCAGGAAGTGCTTCCTGGCATCCAAACGAAACCTTGGCTCCCTGAGCTTTGCTCTGTTGGAGCGCATCCTGCCCTCCTCCACAGGGGAGAACAGGTCTCTGCCCCCCTCCGTGTGACACTCCCTCACATCCCTGTATGTCGCCAACAGATCCCCTCCGAGTCTCCTCTTCTCTAGGCTGAAGAGACCCAGTTCCCTCAGTCTAGCCTCATATGGCATCCCCTGCAAACCGGCCACCAACCTTGTGGCCCTACGCTGCACTGACTCCAACCTGGCTATATCAGTGCTTTACTTCACAAGTGTTCTTCAACAGCACCTTCATTTGCTTTTAATTAGCCTCAGGCAAGCTGGGGGTTGGCTTGAGATGGGATAAAACTTCTTTTTGAGACAAGAGCAGTGCTGAAGTGGAAGATCCGGAGTGGGGGAGCTTTAAAAGGCACATGCAGGAGTAATTAGTAGCATGGCAAAATGTGCAGCAAGTTCCCCCTCCGTTTTTCAAACTGGGCACAACACCAGTACAGATACAGGCAGGGGCTTGGGTGGCAGGTGGACAGTGCCCAGTAGGGGAAACACCATTTCTTAAAGGGCTGATAGTCGGACTTTCCTTCCTAGTGGTGATTCCCAGGCTTAAATTCATTGTTTCTGTGGTGACTGGCAACCTGTTTGTGGTCACCTGCATGTTGTTGTAGGTTAAAGGCAAACTTGTCACATTTTTCCAGGTTGTATTTACTTCTAGTGTGTTCCTTGCATAAAGAATAAAACAACGTATTTAATGCTGGATCTTCTTGCTAGCAATACGGGGTAACTTTTGTTGAATTGTCATTTAGCATATCGATATCTCAAGGACATGGCAAAGTTTTATTAACTAGCCAATTATTTAAATGCAATTTAGTTTAACCAGCCATGATAAAACTAAATGGAAATGAGGCTTAAATGTGATATTAAAGTTAACTTTAGGATATACCTGCAAATTCCTATCTGTTCTGATTTAAAATATTGCTAGTAAACCTGGTGCTTGAAACTGACATGAAAGGAATCACTCTCCGTGGAGAAGGCCACTGTTCCATGGTGAAGTTTTTGCCTACACAAGGTCCCCAGTTCAGTCCCTCACACCCCTAGTTAAGAGGGTCTCCAGGAGCAGGGCTGGGAAGGAATCTGGGTCTGAAATCTTACAGAGCAGCTTCTGGCCAGAAGGGACAGAAGAAGTCTAGGTGGACCAATGGTCTGTCTTGAACATGGCAGTGTTTTGCAGTAGTGCCTACAGGAAATTACAGCAGCTGACAAAGAGAGGATTACCGCCACTTTGGCTTGAGGTTCTGAGTGCCAGCAGCTTTTCCTTAAGAAAGACTTAAGGACCTTTGAAACTGGGGGGACATTTCTCAAAGCTGGGAAGCCATCGATGCTCAGGCAGCAGAGTCATCTGGGCTGGGTTTAGCACCTGGGCCTGAGGTGCTGTGCCCTACTATGGCTGAAAGGCTGGAGCTTCCTCTGAAACAAACTTTGCTGCATGACTAGACAAGGTAGAGCTAATGCAGGATTTTAATTAAAATACGAGTGCATCCACTAGTATTTAATTATAGTAGCTTATGGCTTCTTTGTGCTCTTATTTTGAGATGAGACTTATAGCCTGATGGCATCTGTTATGCCAAACTGGATTTAGAACAGTTTGCATTTTCTGAATTGTTCATCTTTCAAAAATCACTGTAAACAAAATGGACCGAGACAGTTATGTAATTCTTTCCCATCTCATTTCCGAGCTTCGTATTGATCTGTTCCTTAGTAGTATAATTCAGCAATGTCCATGATAACTGTTTCCATTCTTGTTGATCTTGCAGTCTTAACATATATAAATCTTGATTAACAGACGTGCTCATCTGCGTTTGTGTCTGGAGAAGCTTAAAGGGCTGGTGCCCCTGGGACCAGAATCCAGTAGACATACAACACTGAGTTTACTAACGAAAGCTAAATTGCACATAAAGGTAAATAAAAAATGTGAAATATGCACTCTAAAATGTTGCCTTCAGATAGGTAACAGGAATATAATGGGCATTACAAGCTTGAGTTTCCCAAATAACATTTTTGATACGAATTGTGAAGATGAAGGAAGGACAAATCGTTGTTGTAATACTTGGATTTTTGTGCTGCCACATTGAAAGCATGCACGCTGGCATTAAAGCTTGGCAGGCACTTGAAGCCGATTGGGACAGGGAGGTGGCAACAATGATGCAAGCAGGCTTTGAGGAAGTCTTCATACTGCTTGGATAAAAGTATTTGACAGCTTTCAGAGGTGAAGCAAGCTGAGATAGCTGGTAGCATGGCTGCAGAATGGACAATATCTAAAGCTGTTTAGCTCCCCTTAAGTTTCAATATCCTGAAAAGCTCAGCTAATTTTTCAGTTTGACATGACACCCAAGGGCCAAATGTTGCCTCCTTTCTTCACCAGAAACTTGAAGACTATGACAGAAAAGCTGTACACCAAATAGATCAGTTGCAGCGAGAACAGCGGCACCTGAAAAGGCAGCTGGAGAAGCTGGGCATTGAGCGAATAAGAATGGACAGTATAGGGTCAACAGTTTCTTCTGAACGCTCAGATTCAGACAGAGGTAAGTCGTGGTGTTGCGCAGTTCCAGATATGAGGCACTCTTCTGGGAAGCAAGGCTGACCGATTTACCAAGTGACACTGCCTTTCTGTTTCAGAAGAAATTGATGTGGATGTGGAAAGCACAGACTATCTAACAGGTGACCTAGACTGGAGCAGCAGCAGCCCAAGTGATTCAGATGAAAGAGGAAGCTTGCAGAGCGTCTGCAGCGATGAGGGCTACTCAAGTGCTGGCATTAAGAGAATAAAGCTGCAGAAGAATCTTAAGGCCTGTCTCAGCCTATAAGGAGCCAGTAGCTTTTCTTCATCCATTGCTGTTTCCCTTGTTGGATCCTACTAGGTAGTATGTCGGACTGTCCCACGATTCTCTTGCACGTAAACTTCTTGTACCACCAACGTTACCAAAATCTGCTTGCCTCAGTCTGAAAACAGTGCGTAGGGTTGGGGGTTACAAGCTACTCTCTGGAGCACACGCCGGCTGGCATCCACTAGCTTCTCTTTTCCGTCAGTAAACTCATCTCTGTGAGACTGAACATTCCAAATTCCTAGCACCCAGACTGTGGTTGCAGTAACAGCAGCGTACACTTTTGCCTCTGCTGCAGTTGCTTCACATTCTAGAGAAACCCTATTTGCTTTGAGGTGGGAAAATGGGAGATCAGGCCCGCCTAGCCGCTGTTCCTCAAAGGTGGCTTCTGTCAAAGACATTCTGTTTTCCTGTCCTTTAGAAAAGCTGGAAATTGGCATTGACAGGCTTACAACACATTGTAAGTTTCTGTTCGGGAATTATGCAGTGGAACTTAGCAAAAACTGTTCAGAAGTTATTCTGGAGTTTCCCAAGTCCTTGCAATTGTGACATAGCCATCTCTGAGGCGTCCCTGCCAATGCAGAGTCACGGCTCCCTTTGGATTTAACATGCTGAGCTAGCCTTCTCAGTAGGTCCCATGGGGCTAGGTTTGCGGCAGGTGACCAGCAGATTAAAATGAAGTTTAGCAGAAAAATACTAGGAGTAGAATTGTGCTGGAGACTTTTAAGGGGGAAGGGGTTCTCACTTTTAGCTGATGGCCCCGCTAGGACGCCTTCACTCAAACACTTCTCTCTGCCTTTGTGTCAAAAGACCAAATATTTCTCCTGTGTGATCTTCATTATGATGTCTTTGCATTTACGGCTGCATTTAGCCTTTGTTCCTAGCAGCTTTTCTAGCTGCTAAGTCCTGCTTCTTGTCTCTGGGACAATTTTTCTACCTCAGAGAGATGAACAAAGCTGATCTCAATCCCTTTAGCACAAAAGAATTATGCCTCATTTATATGCTTGGTTCTAGTCCAATCTGTTTACTTAAAAATTCAGCAATAACTGAGTGACAAAGTTAGCAGTGCTAGCTTTGAGTTAATGACTGGGGAGACTGCATTGAAGTAAATCTGTGGTGCCCTCCTGGCAGTGGAGCACTGCCTTGCCCGTTTAAGTTTTTTTTGATAGCCTCAGAAAGTGACTTCTGTGGGGAATTTGGGTTTTTGACCGTCAGACTTTACTCTTTTTGCCCCCTTTTCACAGCCTCGGGTATTCCACATCAGCAGGATTCTTCACTTAAGCTGTACAGAGCACACGCAAATGTACATAACATGTGGTCTATAAATAGTATTTATTCGTTTTTATATATAAACTTAACGTAATATTCTTATGTTTTTGTGCTTTTATAGATGTTTAGAAAACTTTGTACGTCATGGTCTACCACGGAGATTTCCACAGAGATTTCTTTCTTTTTGTTTTGAGCCCTCTTGGCCAACTCCTCACCACGTTTAAGATGTCGCTTTTCCCATGCACAGTTGGCAGTCCCCCACTCTGAGAGGACACCCAAGAGCCAGTTGAGCAGCTTCAGGTCACTTCACTCTGAAAGGGCTACACAAATTACTTAGCTTCAAAATAGGGTTCACGCTTGCTTGCAGGCCATGGCCCGAGCTGCCAAAACCCATTAGGACGCTGTCAAAGTTGAAAACAAACAACACAAAATGATTTTTTTTCCAAGAAGCTTGACACTATCTCTAGATAAATCTTCTAGATGGGAAGTGGGGCTAGTGGATTGCTAAAGATCTCCAAAGCTATTTCCTTTGAGTGTGCTGTCCTTCAAAATAAAATGCAGCTGGATGTCCAGCAGTCTTGCACTGAACGCCTCCTTTTCAGAGGCCACCCTGCATTTGCGAGCTGGCTTTGAGTCCAAGCAGAAAAACGTTCAGAGAGTTCGCTCCCAACCTGTAAACTTTAAAGGAGTTGAGTAGCTGCACTTTTAGGTCCTTCGTTCCGACATGTTTTTGCCTGAGACCTTTGAGCTTCTATATTTGCTGATGAGTTGCATAAAACTATCTCACGTATTCAACTCTGTTGCCATCTTAAGGTTCAAAGTAACTTCAGATTTTGGGGGCATTTTGGTGGAGTACTTTAAATTACAAATTTGTGTACTTTCCTTTAGAAGTAATAAGTCTTAAGGATTCAATCTACTATGTTTTTAATTGATGTGCCTTTTATGAGTTAATTGTAAGTGGGCACAGTCCACTTCTGAGTTCTCCGGAGTATCACCTGTCTTCCCCTCCCCGCCCCCAGTCCCCAGAATATCTAAATGAACGGAAGTGGCAGGCCCATCTGTGGTTCTGTGTAGCTGCTTTCATTTTGGTGAACCTTAGGCAGGAGAAATTCTTGGTGAATTGTGCCCAGCTTCTTTTTTTAGTAAAATACTGTGGAATTTTGTTTTATTTTATTGTCCCTATTGTGAACCAGTAATTGATCTTTGCACTGTCTGGATGTGGTCCTTGGATGGTACAGATATAGTAAATTTTACAAGTAATGCACTAATATCAAAAACTAACCTAAAAAGGTTTGTAGTGTTTCAGAAAAATCTAGACAAATAACGTAAATTGTCCTGTGGGCTCCAGGGATACCTTCTAAAATCTTGGCTACGACTTGTCTTGGCAGCTCCAGACTTCTGTGGACCTCGCTGCTGCTCTCCAGCCGTCCTTCAAACAGCCGCCCCTACTTCAAGTGGGCCCAGCTGCGTACGTGGCCTGCAGGACTGCCTCTGTGGCTGTCGGCCACGCGTGCGGGAGGCGCAGTGCGAGGCCACACAAGCCTAGCCTTTCCGACCAGGTGTTTCCTGCCCTGCTGGAGCGGTGCGCGAGTGGCCATGGAGGCGCAGCCACATCACTCGGGTTCTGGGTAAAACCGGGCTGTGGGAGCGGGGCGTCCTGGTCCAGCCAGCCTTCCTCTTGAATTCACTGATCCACCAGCATTATTCAATAAACTTCAGAAAATTAATTTTGTAGATTGTTAAAAGGGAGCTGGGGTTGTTTCTGTACATGTGTTTACAGCTGGAAGTTGTGTGGGTGTTTAAATAGGTCACACTAAATGCTGTTGTACTTGGTAACTTCCTGTGCAGACAGTAAACCTGGGGTGCACTTGATTGAAAATGGAAATCCAAAATTTGTGCTCTTACTGATCAGAAGTTAATATGGGTGTCAGGGTGACAGTCTGAAGTATCCGGAAAAGTATTGTCTGTACCTGATGAACCTTTTTCCTGAGTGTTGAACACCCAGAACTTTTATTATGGTATTGTGTTTCATTTTGGTTTTTTTTTTTTTTTTTAATAAAGCAGAGCTTTCAAGGTGCTGAACTTTTTTCCAGGGTTGGTGTGAATACCTGTTGTTTTTTTTAAATTCAAATTCAGAGCACTTACTTGAGATGTCCAGTTAGGTGCCACAAACTTTTCCAGCAAGATTCCAGAGTTCTGGGCATTCGCAGGCTGCGTCCTGCCAACTGCCTCTTCAGCACTTTGTTCTCACACCAGGCACTTCCCTCCTCCTCCGGAAGCCCCCACGTGTCTTGGTGCTGCCCAGGATTCAGTACCGGCAGCGGAGCGCGCAGCCAGGAGAGGGCCCTGCGCTACTGGGGGGGGAGGGGAGGAGGAGGGGAGGCACAGCTGAGGGGGGAGGGTTCTTTTTTAAGTGCTCACGGCCTAACGAGGGTGTGCAGGCATCTGGCATAAAGTCTAGCAATATTCGGGGACTCCGTCCTCCTTTTACCCCCTTGGTAACATACGTCAGGTTTTGACACTTACTGTATCGGGACAAATTCTGCTTTCTGTACCTAGTTATGCATTTGCTGCCCTGATTCCCTGTATCGTGTTCTTCTTTTCCCGTGGCATCAATCTGCGAGATTTCTTTACTTTCCGTTAGCGCAAGTGGCCACTTTGCCTGTGGCATCTGAAGCTTCCTGAACAGCTGCGTGAAGGAGTTGTGCTTTGGTTTGGAGGGGAAGCTGCCCCAGATTACCGGGCCAATGAAATCTTTCCATGCTCCTGCGTCTGTGTAGCGGGACTTCCTTTAGCAAACCTGTTTGTGTAACATATTATGGTCCAGTTGAACATTGCGTAAGAGTCGGCTTGTCTCCGACTGTAACCCTTCAGTGGCTTGGGTATGCTTGCTGAAACGTAGCTGTTCCCTTCTTAGGTGCCCACAGACTTGCCCTGCCCGGAGGAGTTTGGCTTTATTTTTGCGCAGTCCTTTTGTATTAACCTAGGAACTTTCATCAAATAGGTGCTCTTAACAACACTTGCTGTTTTGAACTCTTGAGTTTAGTTTTGGAGTCTTCCAAATAAAAATGCAGCCTGAACAGGAGAGCAGCAAAAGGGGGGAAATAGAAATTCGGTTTCCAGATGTTCAGTTCCTAATGTAAATACCACATTATTGCGAATCCTGTGTCAAGACCATATAATGGTGCTTTTTATTACAGTTAGCACATGCATTTTTAGAAACTACATGTTTTAGACAACCTTGCTGTGTATATGTATACTTCTGTATTGTTCAACTGTTAGAAAATAAATTATTTCATTATTAAAGAGTGCTCCAGTGTTAGTGTTCCTGCCTGAAAAGAAGTTACTTATAAAACGTATTCAAGTTACATTAGATTTAATTCTGACTAGTTCAAGATCCAGTTTTCTGCTAGAGCAGAGTCCAGAACTTCAATAATAATTAGAATGGAAGATGATGATCACACTGCCTCCACGTCCCATTTTTTTCCTCTTGCGAGGGACCCCGGTCTGCTTGCACTGCCCTTCACTCCTTTGAATCCTCACAACAAACAATCCTGTGAGGTAGCCGGGCTGAGCAAGAGTACGTGGCCCCAGGCCACCCAGCTGAGGGGCACTACGGCCCAGGGCCCCAGCCAGAGCACTCAGACCACCTCCCCACCTTGGCTTTCTCACGTCCTGCTGCAGAAAGAAAATGGAGAGCCTGGCTGGGCAGCTTGTGGCTGTTCAGCTGTTTTGGACTACAGATCCCATCATCTCTTATGCTTGGCGGTACTGGATTGGGAATCCTGGCCCTCCTTTCTTGTCCCGTCCTGTCGGTACTTGGACAAACATGCTCTCTCTCTCTCTCTCTCTCTCTCTCTCTCTCTCCCCCTCTCCCTCCCTCCCTCCCTCTCTCTCTCTCTCTCTCTCTCATCATTAAAACACGAATGGGGCAGCCAAGTGAGAATTAGGTGGCAGAAGGTGCTTGTTGGGCTGGCCTCTGCCCTGGAGTGCGCTTTGACCAGGTGAACAAAGGGTTGAGGGCTCTAACTTTTCAAGGACGCTATTCCCCAACAATGGAAACGGAGACCTCCGAGCTGACAAGAAGTGTCCACAGCTGCCATGATGCGTAGCTGTTGACAGCTGCCTTCTCTCTGTGTTTGTGTAATCCCCGTTTATGTATTTATTATTAAACTTATATTCCACTATACTCACCCAAGGAGTTCTCTCCCTAAGACCAGTGGCCATTGCCGTATCTTTGCAGTGGTGAATTTTGTAGGTCAGCTTTCCCCAATCTGGTAATCGCCATATGTTTTGGACTGCAGTCTCAATCAGCCTTAGCAGTTATGGCCAAGGGGAGCTGAGGTCTGAACATCTGGAGGGCCACAGGTTGAAGAAAAACACCATAAATTAGCTATGTGCCATGGTACTTCTGGACACCCCACTGTTCAGCTTCACTGAATGATTCCCATGTCTGCCATACCAAGAAGGGGCAAGAAATTTTCTCCACAACATTTTGTTATAAGCCCCTAGCAAGTCCACTCAAGATTCCCTTTTTCTGCCCAAAAGAGCCTGAAATCACTCCCTATCTTCTCGCTCGCCTCTGCTTGCGCCGGTTGTCCCTTCCTGCGTCTTGCAAATCTCAAAACTAAAGTTACAAAGCCAGGTTTCTGGGCTATGAAGATTCTTTTTTTTTTTTTTTTTACTGCTGGACAGTATAAATCTTGCTGGTTACCAATGATGAGGGGTGGGAATGTTTCTACTGCCCCTGCTTTTTAAAAGTGCATTGCTTCATTGACTTAATTAGTAATACAATTAATAGACCAGGCAAATCTAAATCTAAATATTTTAAGGTAACTGTTCCTAGGAGCAGCATTGCCTCTTAACTGACTCGAAACACTCAAAAATGAGCACGCTCATGGGACCAGCTTACACCTTTTCATTTTGTGAAAATCTAAAGGAAATGTGTGCTGTTGAGTGCTGCCTTAAAGAAAGACGACAATGATAATTTCAAATAAAAGCATTTTTATTGTAATAGTTAAACACATTAACTGATATGACATGAACCTATGACTAAGAAGTAAGCACTGCTGTATTTCTTGGAGTTTTGAACTAGGAACCCGTGCAGGACTGCAGCCTGAGGGTGCTTTGGGATCATGATGTTAGCATTCCTGGGTTATTCCATATTTTCCTCATTAATGACATTTCCACAATAAGGAAGAGTAGGAAAACATGGGAGGGTTACCCGTGGAAGATCATGTGGTTTGCCACCCAGGTGGGTGAAATTCTGTGAATGAGACCAGGGCAGCAGTAAAAAAACCACCATTCTCGGGAAGCTCTCCAAATTTACCTGCCTGCCTTACTTCCTCACTGAATATTTCACTTCAAATGTTAACGCCTCTTCTGCTATTTCCCATCTCTCTTTTTAGATTGTAAGCCTTTTGGGGCAGAGGCCTGGCAAAGCTTTTCTTTGCAAAGTATGGGTGCTACAGTATGGATGTAATTTACTGTTAGTTTTTCTCTTTTATTTATACACCACTTTCTCCCTTGCAAGGGACCAAGGCTGCCTCTTCTCTGTGAACAACAGCCCTGTGAGGTGGGCTTGGCTGAGAGCGAGTGACTGGCCCAAGCTGCTCATGGGTGTCATGGCTGAGTGGAGACCAGAGGCTTGAGGACTAGCATTCGCACCACTGTGCCACACGGGCTTCATTGGCGGCCAAGAAACCTCAAGCTACTTTATACACCACGCAGAATTGTCATAGAAAAATCAGTTTTGTTTACTCAGTGTCAGTCCGAGGAATACGATAAATCAGATCTCAGAGGATTCCAGAGGCGCAGAAACTTCCAGAACACGCACGGCCGTGGTGCAGTCCAGTGGGCCCCGTGGGTAACGCAGCTGCGCCGGGCTCGCTGGCAGACAGGCGAGCGGCCCTTGGGACGTGCCCAGGGAACGCTGGTCGGCGTCCAGAAGGTGCCCTGCGGGGAGTCAGGTGCCGGCGCACGAAGGCAGGGCAAACGGCCTGCTCTGCTGAGCCAGTCAGCGCAAGAGCCGAGAGGAGCCGCCCGGCCTCGTGCTGTGGGGCGCCGGGACAGAGGTGCGGGATCCTTGGGGCAGGGTGCCCCGAGAACGTGGGAAAGGCTGCCCGGTGATGGCGGCAGGCGGGGAGAAATCTAGATGGGGGCTCAGCCTAGCTCTTTGGTGCTGATCAGAGCACCGAGCCGGAGGGAAGGTAGCTGCGGGCGCAGAGCAAGGACAGGCGGTGGAGGCCCTGGCATCCGTCAGCTGCCCATGGACGTCAGGCGTTGATGCCACTTGAAAGAGAACTCCGTGTCGTGAGAAACGGGAGCTTCTCCATCAGCCAAAACCCCAGGAAGAGGCGGCTGCATCAGTTGCTGATTCACTGCTCTGGCCTCCGCTCCCTTCAAGAGGGCTTAGCTGCACCTGGGCGGGTGGCCAAGTGTTGGCCTGGTGCAGGAGGACTGTTCCCATGGCCCTGCCTGCATAACTCAGGTGCTTGGGGGGCAGGGGAGTCTGCAGCCAGATCTGCCCACGGAGCAGGAGGGCTGCTTTGTATCCCCTCGGAAACAGGCTGGGCTCCTCCAGGAGCAAGTCGTCCTCCCCCGGCATCCTCTTAAAGAATGGAAAGAGAGCCATGGGGATCTGAGAGTGAATGATGCGCCAGGGACATGTGGCACCCGCGGCCTTCGGCTGCTGCGCCAGGTCTGTGGCTTCATCCAGCCCGAGCCTCCACGGTGCTTGTTTGGGTCAGGGCGCCTCAGATGCTGGAGGTCTGGGTTCCCCCAGTCCTGCCACAGGAGCCCAGTGCCAAAGGCTGGCGCGTTCCTGGCTCTGGGGGCTGGGGGTTTAAATGTCGGAAAGCAGCCTCTGTCCAGTCCAGATAGTCAAAGGCCTCTGTGTGACCACTGCGCTGGCTTGCACTTCTGGCCAGTGCATGAGCGCCACAAATCACAGCACTTCCATCATGCCGACGGGGGTCCCGTGGCCGCTCCGTTCCAAGTGCTGTTCTGCGACTTGGACTCCTGCCTGCTCCGCCAGCTCCGGGCAGGCCTCCTGCTTTTCCTGCTGCGAACCGAAGGCACACGCAGGACGTGGCAAGGGGCCCGGCTGGGTCCTTGGCGGTTTGCATCATGAATCTTCCCCCCGGAGCACCTTCAGTCCACACATTCATCCGTTTTGGGTGGAGTCTGTCCCCTTAAAGGGCTTTTTGGGACTCCCTGCAACCTTAAGATCTGCGCCTCCGTGGCCTTTTGCCAACGCTCAGCACGCTGCAGGTGGTGCATCGCTTCAGTGGCACCAAGTCTGATGAAGGAGAGAGTGGGAATAAAGGGGCAGTTGGGTGCAAGATGTATTCGTCCCTCACGGATCGGCATTCAGTCCTCCCCAGTCCCAATTCTTTCTAAATGAACCAGAACGGAGAGGCGCAGTGAGAGGCCGCCTGGCCGAAGGCGCCAGGTTTGGGGTGTGGGGGCATTAGAAGAAGAAGGGAGAGGGACGCACTGCAGAAGCACCCTCCAGATGGGGCAAGCAGCTGCTCTCTCTCTGGTGGAGCTCGTCACCACGTTTTGGGAACTTGCTAACACGAGCCCCGCCACACACCTCGTCACCCGCCCGGCGATGCCGGCAAAGGCAGTTTGACTAATCTGGGTGAATCAGCTGCCTGTTGCATTGTGCAAGTTGCCATTTCTCTGCGGCTCCCCTGGACCGTGGGGACGGGGCAGATTGCCTTGGTCATCTTTACCAAGAAACCGCCATTTCTTCTTCACATGAGTCACAGCTGCTGAGTCTTGAGCTTTTTCTGTGATGCAGCCCTTTCCTTGAAAGGTGGTTTAGTTCGGGAATAACAGCTGTTGAGCCAGCCCTCGCACTGCAGTTGGCGGGCGGATCGAGCTGGACACGCAACCCAAGTGCTTCCGTGCACGAACCTCACAAGCGAGCTCGCACAGCCTCAGACCGTCTCTGCCTCCTAGTCCTGCTCTGACTGGCAGCAGCGGCCCTCCAGGGCAACTGGGAGGCTGCCCCATTTAAGACCTGTTTAACCTGGTGATGTTGGGCATGGAACTGGGCGCCTCCCAAAGGAAAGGCAGTCGTGGGGCATTCCTGGGACAGCAGTAGCTTCGGGGGTGCCAGTGGAGCTGCATGTGGTCCAGGGATTAGGCCCCATCACTGGCAAAGCACTTCACGCTGGACCCGGGGCGCACCTCCTCTTGCAGGGGGCGGTATTAGGCTCGTAGCCACCCTAAGCCACATGCCGTTTTCAGAACAATCACCCAGAAAGAAGGCAGAACCACAAGTGGTTCTTCCCTGCACTTTGTTTGGTTTTTGGTTTTGTTTTTTGGGTTTTTTTTGGGGGGGGGGTTGGTAAAGTTGTAAAGCCTGCTTTTGCACACAATCATCTGAAATTTGTCAGCTTCTGAAACTCTGCTTGCAAGATGCATCCAATTCTGCCAAAATTCAGAACTCCTGCTTAGCGTATCCCACTTTGTCGCCAAGCAGCTATTAGAACCCACATATCCCTGTCCCTTTTGGTACTGTCCATGGAGTCCCTTGGAGTACAAAGTGAAGCAGCGCACAGGCTGGCAGAATTCTGTCAAGAGAATACGATGGTCATAGCAAACACTCTTTTCCAGCAACCCAAGAGACGACTCTACACTTGGACATCACCAGACGGTCAACACAGAAATCAGACTGACAATGTGCTCTGCAACCAAAGATGGAGAAGCTCTATACAGTCAGTAACAACTTGACCAGGAGCTGACCGGGGCTCAGATCATGAGCTTCTGGTTGCAAAATTTAGGCTTAAATTGAAGAAAGTAGGGGAAAGCACTAGGCCACTCAGGTATGACCTAAATCATATCCCTGATGAATATACAGTAGAGGTGACAAATAGATTTAAGGAATTAGATCTGATAGATAGAGTGCCTGAAGAACTATGGACAGAGGTTCGCAACATTGTACAAGAGGCAGCAACTAAAACCATCCCAAAGAAAAAGAAATGCAAGAAAGCGAAATGGCTGTCTGAGGAAGCTTTACAAATAGCTGAGGAAAGAAGGGAAGCGAAAGGCAAGGGAGAAAGAGAAAGATACACCCAATTGAATGCAGAATTCCAGAGAATAGCTAGAAGAGATAAGGCCTTCTTCAATGAACAGTGCAAAGAAATAGAAGAAAACAATAGAATAGGGAGGACCAGAGATCTCTTCAAGAAAATTGGAGATAGGAAGGGAACATTTCATGCAAAGATGGGCAGGATAAAGGACCAAAATGGCAGGGACCCAACAGAGGCAGAAGAGATTAAGAAGAGGTGGCAAGATTACACAGAGGAACTATACAAGAAAGACCTTAACTTCCCTGATAACCATGATGAGGTGGTCACTGACCTCGAGCCAGATATCCTGGAATGTGAAGTCAAATGGGCCTTGGGAAGTCTGAGCAACAACAAAGCTAGTGGAGGCGACGGTATTCCAGCCGAGCTATTCAAAATCTTAAAAGATATGCAGTAAAAGTGCTACACTCAATATGCCAGCAAACTTGGAAAACTCGGCAGTGGCCACAGGATTGGAAAAGGTCAGTTTACATTCCGATCCCAAAGAAGGGCAATGCCAAAGAGTGTTCGAACTACCGCACCATTGCACTCATTTCACATGCTAGCCAAGTTATGCTCAAAATCCTACAAGCTAGGCTCCAGCAGTATGCGGACCGAGAACCACCAGAAGTACAGGCAGGATTTCAAAGAGGGAGAGGAACTAGAGATCAAATGGCCAACATACGCTGGATCATGGAGAAAGCTAGGGAGTTCCAGAAAAACATCTACTTCTGCTTCATTGACTATGCTAAAGCCTTTGATTGTGTGAATCACAACAAACTGTGGCAAGTTCTTAAAGAGATGGGAGTACCAGACCATCGTATTTGTATCTTGAGAAACCTGTATGCGGGTCAGGAAGCAACAGTAAGAACTGGGCACGGAACCACTGCTTGGTTCAAAATTGAGAAAGGAGTTTGGCAAGGCTGTATACTGTAGCCCTGCCTATTTAACTTACATGCAGAGCACATCACGAGAAAGGCGGGCCTAGATGAATCACCAGTTGGAATTCAGATTGCTGGGAGAAATATCAACAACCTCAGATATGCAGATGATACCACTCTCATGGCAGAAATAAAGAGGAACTAAAGAGCCTCTTGATGTGGGTGAAGGAGGAGAGCGCAAAAGTTGACTTGAAACTCAACATTAAGAAAACTAAGATCATGGCATCCGGTCCTCTCACTTCCTGGCAAATAGATGGGGAAGAAATGGAGGTAGTGACAGATTTTATTTTCCTGGGCTCCAAGATCACCACAGACGGGGACTGCAGCCAAGAATTAAAAGACGCTTGCTCCTGGGGAGGAAAGCTATGGCAAATCTAGACAGCATACTAAGAAGCAGAGACATCACCCTGTCAACAAAAGTGTGTATAGTCAAGGCTATGTTTTTCCCAGTTGCAATGTATGGCTTTGAAAGTTGGACCATAAGGAAGGCTGAGCGCCGAAGGATTGAGGCCTTTGAATGGTGGTGCTGGAGGAGACTCCTGTGAGTCCCTTGGACCGCAAGGCGATCAAACCGGTCAGTCCTAGAGGAGATCAGCCCTGACTGCTCTTTAGAAGGCCAGATCCTGAAGATGAAACTCAAGTACTTTGGCCACCGAATGAGAAGGAAGGACTCCCTGGAGAAGAGCCTGATGCTGGGAACAATGGATGGCGAACGGAGGAGGGGACAGCAGAGGATGAGGTGGCTGGATGGAGTCCCTGGGGCAGTGGGTGTGAGCTTGAGTGGACTCCGGGGATGGTGGATGGCAGGAAGGCCTGGAGGAGTGTTGTCCATGGGGTCGCGATGGGTCGGACGCAACTTCGCAACTAACAACAACAATCCCTGTCCCAGTCCAGCCCTCAAACCACTATATGGCACTGCCCTATTGACAGATTGTTTTAAAAGTATTTCGCACAGGCCTCAGCACACAATTGCCTGAAGCTGACAAGTGTCGTTCCATTACATTCTGCTTCCGTGTGTGTGAAGGCTGCCCAATTCTGCCAGAGCAAAAGGCTGCAGTTATTTGCCTGTTTCCGACGGTAGCCAGGGGTGCAAGTCTTCTGTAGTGAGTCTGGAGCTTCGGCCAGCTCAGATCAGACAACCTCTGGACAAGAGTGAGGACCACTGGACTCTTCCCCATCCCCAAATCAGGGTCCAAGCCAAATCGCGCAGGGCACACGCCTCCTTTCACACGCCCGGCTGCTCTCCACAAAACACTGCGGGAGAATTACACAGCGGTTTTGCAAGCTGCACGTCCGGCCCTGACGCTGACGTGAGTGCCAAGTTTCAGTTTCCTGGCATGATGTCGGGGGCCTTCCCCCCGCCCAGACCTCGCCCTCAGATGTGTGTAATTCGCAAAGTTTCAAGAAAGGCACGTGAAAATCCATGTGGCTTTCACAGGAGTGTCAGTCACCACCCAAAGGATACAAGATGGATGCAAAATTGCTGTCAGAAATATCCATTTTCCAGGACGCTCCCACTGACCTTCAGTCGGCCACTTTTGAACAAAGGAAGAGTTGGAATGCCACCTTTCAGGTCTGGTTTCCAGGTAACCTGGTAATTCTACACAGGTGCAAGTTGGCAGGGACTGGTGAGCAAGATGGAGAAAGACACTCTGCCCATGGTCAGAGGCAGTCTTTCCTCTGGCAAGCATCCAGGAGAACAATGATAGCAGCAGAACTCCAAGCTATTTCTATGCCATTCAATGAAAGGGGAGCTGTACGGACTTGCTCGGAGGGAGTGTGACTGCTTGCAAAGGCTCTCCAGAGGCGCCACAGTGCGAGGAAGCGGTCGGCGGCAGTTCTGAGCCGGGCGGGTGCTCTGACGCCTTCTCGCCGACGGTGCTCCGGCAGTGAGCCGCTCAGGTGCCGCTGCCCGGCAGCCATCGAGAGCCACCGCAGAGCTCGCTCACAGAGAAGCTCCGGTTCTCCTAACGCTGGAGGGGGAACCCGGCTGTCCGCAGGGGCCCGCTTTTTCTCTCACAGCTGCTCCCTGCCCCTGGCAGCTCCCTGCCCCGGTTTCCAGCCCCCCATGGCCGCCGGGGGCCCGTCTCCCATCGCCCACCTGCCCCCCCCCCCCGTGCCTCACGGCACTCATCGCTCGCCTGCAGGACCACCTCGGCCTCTGGCCCCATCATCCCTGGAGTTGTTCTGTGGCCGCAGCCCCTCCTTCAGAGCAGCACCAGCACGGCAGCCCCCCAGTGATGCCCCCTGCTGGGGCAACAAGCAGAGACCGAGCACCTGCATCTCTCTCTCTGGTTCGCTCGCTCCTTTCTCACTGGTCCCCAAGTTCTGGCAGAACGCAGTGTGGCCGGCCAGCGAGACGCAGGCCGCGTGGGCCCCGCCATGGCTCCACTGCGCACGGCCGCTGCTTCTTCCCGCCACCTCCTCCCTGGCGCCCCTGTGCTCACCCCACCCCCCACCCCGCGGCTGCGGCGCCTCCCTGGCTTCTGTGCCCCCTCAGCCGCCACCGCCCTGCGGAAATGCTCAGCTGCGCATCGCTGAGGAGGGAAGCCGCCCCACTGGGAGCCCTTCTTGCTTCCCGGCTCCTCGGCTGCCTCGGGGTGGCTGCTCCAAAGGGTCTGGGCGGGCTACCGCTCCAGGGGGCTCACGGCCACTCCAATGGGCCAGTTTCCCCCCTCCTGCTGGGCCGCCTTCTGGCCATGCAATCGTAGTGGCCAGAGGGCGGTGGGAGGCGGCTGGGGGCACCCCACGGGGAGGGCCGCGCCCACGGCAGGGCCGGACATGCTTCGCCAGAGCTTGGGCCTCGTGGCTCTGGGGCCCACGGCCACGCCTGGCCGCGTCGGAGGGCACCAGGCGGGGAAGGCCGCATCCCCCCCCCAGAGCAGCAAGGTCAGCCTTCCGGGGCAGGGCAGGGCAGGGAGGGGCCGGGCCGGGCCAGCGAGTTTGGCCAACGCGATCCAATCCGAAGGGAGACAAGACGCCAGCACGTCCTGGGTTTCCCCTCAGTTGCCTGCTTTGGGAGCAGCTCCCATGATGCACGAGGCCGCCTGAGTCACTAAGGTGTTTCCTCTCTGAAGGATAATGAGACATAAGTAGGGCTTTGGTTTCCTGCCTTTATTTATTTTTACATTCCAACCAACATCCCTCCAACCCGCCTGGCCGAGCCCCTGGCGATGACGCAGCCCGCGGGACGGTGCGCTCTGGGATCAGCTGGGCAGCACCCAACGGGGTGCGGACTCGGCAAAGAGCCGGTGCGGGTGCTATTTTTGCCAGCACGGAGGCTCCCAGCGGAGGCCGGGACATCGGCCAAGGAGCCCCAGAGCAGCTCTTGCAGGCCCTTGCACTTCATTCCTTGTCCCCTGGGACCGGGGATAGACTGGAACTGAACGTGGAGGCTTGATTGAACCCCTATACCAAGCATCTATGAATCACCTAATCGATACGCCATCACTAGTGCCGAGAAACAGGCAAATGTACAGAGAGCGGCTCCTCCCATAATGTGGCCGCTCCGTTGCCACATTTGAATTTGCAGAGCCAAGCAGCTCCCTGGTTTCGGCCAAGAGAAGAAGGGAAATGCCGGAAACACCGGCCCAGCAGATGGATAACTGCAGGGCCCCCCTTCCTGGCCCAGCGCCCCTTCCTTCCGAGTTCTCCCTGCAGCTTTTGCTCCAGTGCCGCCCCAGCCGCGCGGTCCCTTTCCTGCGAGCGCACAGCCGGGGGCGAGGGGGATCCCTGGGGCTTGACGGGGGCAGTGGGGGCACGAGGAGGTGCCAAGGGGCTGGGCGCTCTCTGCGGACTGGCCCGAGGCGTGTTGCCCGATCCAATGCGGCGGCGCCCCCCCCCCCCCGACACACACTATTCCCTGCAGGACAGGCTCCACCGGGATCAGCCTCCTCTGAGGGGGGCGGGGCGGGGCGGCATCCACCGCCGCCGGGTGCGCGCGCGCCCACAGGGCCCTTCGCTGGGGCTCCCGCTTCAGCTGCCCGCTGTCCAAACGCCCCTCCGCGCCCGCCTCGACCCGCAGCGCCCCTGCCCCTCTCGGCGGCGAGGCGATCCTCCGGGAGGCCCGGCTGCCCTCGGGGGATCGCCGCCCGCCAGGAGGAGCCGGGGCCTGGGCGGGCAGGTGGGGCCGGGGCACGGGGCGGCAGCCCACCCGCCTTTTCCCCCACGCACCTCCTGCCTCGGCCCTGGGCTCACCGCGGCCGCCTGGAGCTGCCCGGGCAGATCCGCCGCGAGATGCGAGCCGAGGCGAGTCTGGGCAGCCCCGCGCCTCGCTCCTTTTCCGGGCGGGGAGGGGAGCCCTCGGATGTCGGCCCCTCAGGTGTATCCTGGGGCTGCTGGTCAGATTTTGCTTACAGGAGACCCAGAGCGGCTCGGGGAAGGCAACCCAGATCTGCCCCCACCCCCACGTGGCCCTGCTTGCACGGCCTTCCCCATGCGGTGCCTTTCCGAGGGGGACTCCGAGCCCCATCATCCCCACCCAGCCTGCTGCATAGGGCTGCTGGCTGGTGATGGCAGGCACTGGGGAACAGTTTGCTTTAGCTTGCCAGGCCAGAAAGAGAGGCCACGGTTGACCCCTGCCCCGCAAAACCATGGAGCCCCCGCTAGCCCACCTCACAGGTTTTTTTGGGACTAATTGGGGGGCAAAATTATGCCGCCTGACCCGAGCTACTTGCGGGGCACCGAATGGGGCAGGAGTGCAGGAGTGCTGATGTTCCGGTGACTGAGCTGTGCAGGTCCCTCCGAGGTGCATCTGTATCAGCGCGCGCACGCAGCAGCCGCAGCAGGGCCGGGGCGGGACATGCGGGCCGAGCCAGGCTCTCCTCCGGAGCCGCCAGCACCAGCACCAGCACCAGCACCAGCACCAGCCGACTGCAAGGCGAGGCGAGGCGGAGGCCACCGGCCACGCTGGTCGCGGCCCAGGGAATCCCACAGGGATTCCTGATCTCAGAAGAGCCCCTGGAGGGGCTCATGTTTGCAGCAGTGAGGGGCGTGCTCGCCCCAGGGTCCCTCGCAGGCCCCTCGCAGTTGTTTGGCTTCATGGTGCACAGACCGCCCCCAACACAACAAATTAAGGATGGCTGCAGGCACTTTGGACACATTGCAAAGCCGCGCCGTGGATCAGGGACCACGGAGGGGGAGACCGGCTTCCCCAGTGCAGGAAAGGCCGATCCAGCCGGGAGGCCTCTGTCGGTGCTGTCGCTGGCACAGCTCTGGCACGCGGCATCGGCACGCACTGCATCCCACCCCCGTCATCTTCCCATCTGCCCCCACCCACCAGGTTGCGTTTTCGCTGCACGGCAGCACCCTCCCTCCTGCGCACAGCCTCCTGCCAGGGGGGCCCTCCACCACGGTATCTGTACGTACGCCACAGCTGTTTCAAGGCATCAGTCAGAGGGCGATGTGGCCCAGGGGGCCGACAGATGGGCGGACAAACGGCTGGATGGAATGTGGTCCCCCCCACGGCACACGCAGCAAAGCCAAGAGCCCTCCTGCCCCATGCCTGGGGAACATTCCTGGAACATGAAACACGAGGGCATCTTGCCCCCCCTCCCCATTTGGATGCTCCCTGCCAGGCATATGCAGAGCTGGCCATTCGGCCTGGCATGAGGCCACCATTCCAGCCAGCTAAGCTCACGGCACATCCTGCCCCTCCTCTGCACGAGGCGCTTGTGGTGTGGCTTGCCATGCCTTTCTGCAACCGAGCAGAGCGTTATCTGGCTATGGCAGCAGAAGCTGGAGTGAGATGCGGTGCATGCCGGCAGTTCCACATGCCACATCTTAATCCCACAACAATCCGGAAGCAGCAGCCATGGGCGTGTGGTGCAGTCAAAGACTCCGGCCGAGCAGCCCTCGGTCGCCGTGCCGCACGAGAGGATGGATGGAGCCGCTCCCTCGTGGCCCTGCCCGTGTTTTCCCCTCACAACCTCCCTCTTTTTTCTTTCCGGAAAAGACATGTGAGGAGCCAAAGGTGGCGCTGGGGCTGGCAGTGCCTGGAAGGACTCAAGGGAATGGTTTCCTGACGCGCAGGAACGGCACGTTATGAGCTCTTCGGCAAGCTTCTCCCCCCAGTTCAGCTCCCGTTGGGCCAGTGGGGGCACAACAGGAACGGGGGGGGTGCGGAGTTGGGGGCGCTCAAAGGCGGGCGGGCACGTTGCCTCAGAGCCCAGCGCGGGGAACTGCCTCCCAGGAGGCCAGGTGAGGGCAGAGGTGACGCCAGGACACACGTCCTCCTCGCAGGCCCTGGTTCGGGCAGGGCGCCCTGGGGCACCTGCGGTTTGTCCTTCGCCTGCGTTCCGAGCGCCGCAAGGCGAGGCAGCCGTGGGAGGGAGCCAGAACAGCTGCCGCTCCCGCAGGCACAGTGACCTGCACCCCGGAGCCCTCCCTATGCGTGGGACTACAATTCCCAGCACCCACTAAGCATTTTTCGGGCAGGGAGTGTGACACAGGTCCCCACAGCGGCTACTCGCGGGAGGCGCAGGGACAGGGAACATGGAGGCTCCGTGGGGCACACGAGGCAGCTTCGGGCCAGTGGAGCGGGACCGGCAATAGGGCTGGCAGTCGCTCTCTGCCCCCAGATCACCCTCCCACAGCCAGAGGAGGAGGACGACTGGACTGAGCGGGGCGTGACGGCTCCACCAGGGTCACCGATGGTCTTCAAAGGCACCCACTTCTAAACGAGTTTCAGAAATGGGGAGGCCCCCCGTCCTGCTTGCAGCCCCCCCCCCCCGAGGCTGGCTGCTGCGGAAAGGTGGATGCGGGAGCTCGGCCAGGCCCCATGCCCCCCCCCCCCCATTCCCCTGTGGCGCCCCTCCTGTGAGCAAGATGGCCAGTGGGGCGAGGAAGGTCAGAAGCGGCTTGGGACATCACGGCCGTTCCGAGAAACCGCTCAGGTCCGGCCCGAGACAGCCCTGCTTTCCTTCCTGCCCCCTGCCCATGCAGCGGGTTGCATCACGCTGGATGCGGGGGGTGGCGCAAGAGGCGGCATAACGCAACCCGTCTCCCAGGCCTGTTGCCGCCAGGAGCGGCACTGTTTACACACAAAGGTGTTTCTCCAGTCAGTGTGCCCCCCCCAGGCCGCCACCCCCGCAGGATTGAGTCACTCTCTGGGTGCCGCTTCTTGTTGTTTTGTTCTGGCTGCAACCTCGTCGGGAGGACCTTCTGTCCAGCAACCTCTTCCCCTTCCGAGGTGCCACTGGAGAAGAGACCCCTGCAGGCTGCCCCAGGCAGGTGCCCGCTGGCCCAGCTCCGAGGCCTCCCTGCTGCCGGGTGTGGGGAAAATTCAGATAAACCCTGGCAGAAAAGGGTTGCTTATATGTGCTTTTGTGTTAAAAATCAAAACTGCACCCCTTTTTCAGAAAGCACCCCAATTCCAAGCCAGGGTACTGTTGAGGGCTGCTGTTGCTTTGGGAAGACGGAATTCTTAGCTGGACTGAGGCTGCCGTGGGCTGACGCTCAGCAAGGAACGCCTGCGCACCCACCCGCTGCAGAAGGGCTGCGACAGCGGTGCCCGTGTGCTTCTGAAGGGACCGCAGAGGCCAGCACCCGGCCTGCGGAGTGTGGCTGTCAGACCAGGTTTCCTGAATGGCTCCTCCATCGGACACATTTGCATGTTTAAGCAGGATCCAAACTGCAAAGGGAGAGCCAGGGTGGCGTAGTGGTTAGAGCGCGGGACTGGGACTCGGGCGATCCGGGTTCGGGTCCCCGCTCGGCCATGGAGCCCACTGGGTGACTCTGGGCCAGTCACAGGCTCTCAGCCCAGCCTGCCTCGCAGGGTGGTTGTTGTGGGGACAAGATGGAGGAGGAGAATGAGGTAAGCTGCCTTGAGCCCTTGGTAGGAAAAAGGCAGGGTATAAATTGAAAATAAATAAATAAAGGGGTCTACTCAA